ATCCTATTTGAAAGGAACCAGTACGCAAGTCGGGACCAGCAGCTTATCTGACGGTTAAAAGCAATTTAAGGCCCATGTCAGAGCTGGTCGTACTTAATCTTTGCGGTCTGATGGTCAGTAGTAAGAAATTTGAACGGTACTTGATTACACTCCCAATATCATTGTAGTCTTAGAATTATTCTATGCTTGTCATAATCGAACCCCTCCCGCTACCATTATGCTACCATTATTATTACCATTACCCTCCCGCTACCATTACCACCCTCTACTATTACCCTCCCGCTACCATTACCACCCGCTACTATTAACCTCCCGTTACCATGACCACCCGCTACTTTCAACCTCCCGCTACCATGACCACCCGCTAATTTCAACCTCCCTCTACCATTACCACCCGCTACTATTAACCTCCCGCTACCATGACCACCCGCTACCATTAACCTCCCGCTACCATTACCACCCGCTACTATTACCCTCCCGCTACCATTACCACCCGCTACTATTAACCTCCCGCTACCATGACCACCCGCTACCATTAACCTCCCGCTACCATTACCACCCGCTACTATTAACCTCCCGCTACTATTACCCTCCCGCTACCATTACCACCCGCTACTATTACCCTCCCGCTACCATTACCACCCGCTACTATTAACCTCCCGCTACCATGACCACCCGCTACCATTAACCTCCCGCTACCATTACCACCCGCTACTATTACCCTCCCGCTACTAATACCATCCTGCTACCATTACCACTCGCAACTACTACCATCCTGTTACCATGACCACCCGCTACTATTACTCTCCCGCTACTAATACCATCCTGCTACCACTACCACCAGCAAATACTACCATCCTGTTACCATGACCACCGCTACTATTACCCTCCTTCTACCATTACCACAACGCTACCATGAGCACCCTTCTCCCCCCGCAGTACTCGGACGACAGTAGCGGTGACGACCGCATCCTAGGGGCACCGCAGCTGCTATGCATGCTCACCAGCGGCGCCCTCCTGAGCCTCGTAGGAGTCTTCGTCACCTCCTACGGATACCTGGGGCCCGCCGAACACAGCCACATCCTGCGGGCCATTGGCCCCGCCCTGCTGGTCCTAGGGTGTGGGTAGCTGCTTTTTCTTAGTAATAGGATGGTAATGAAAACATGTTACCATGTTAGGGTAAGGTTCTCATCAAGTACTTAGATAAGTTGTTAGTACTGTATGGACTGGAAACGTGGTATGGTGGTGGTGAAAAAGAAAAAAAGAACGACAGTAGGACTTGATGATAAGCGCATAGCTCATAATTTGGTTGCTTGGGTGTATGAGGTTCAACTTCTTTTTACTGGCCACTCTGTACCATTCCTATTACTCTTAACACGTTTCTTGCTGATACCGCCCCATCACCACCCAGAGGCGGCTTCTGTTCATGAAAAGTAGTCAGAAGGATATGGCAATCCTATTTGATGATTGGAAGTATCGGGTGAAGGATTTTTTGGCGTCCCGAGTGCCAGGTCAAATGGAAGGGAGTTTGAAAGGGGAGCATATTTACATAGTCACCATGGAGTGTGGGATACGGTACTATGGTATATAGGTAGCATGAAAGGGTGAGGTACTTATCACCACACCATGGTGGAATAAGGTGCGTGATTTCATGATGAGGTAGGATACTTGCTACCATTATGAGGTGAGGTACTTGGTACTGTGATCGGATAAAGCAGCAGGTACTTAAATGGAAAATTTAAAGTTCCCCCCACATTTTCGACGCTGGGGCCGAATGTGGGCGCGTCCCGGAGGCCAGCTTCGCCCTTAGGAGGGGCAAGTGAGAAGGTAGAGCCAGTCGCTGGCTGCAAGAAGATTGTGAGTCGGGGCAGCGTGAATAGGTTAGGCCAAGTATGTGAGGCCAGAAGCAGAACTGCCTGCTTATGAGCGAGCATGCTGAAGTTTTGGCTGAAGACCACGATGTTATTTTCTTCAAGCTGTATTTTACTGGTGCGGATTATGGTGTTCCAGCGCAGACTGCGGCTTCTATCTCTGAAGCTGGTAAAGTTATTGCATGCTGAGGCTGATCGTTGACTCCATGGCTTATTTAAGAGCCAAATTTATTGTTCACGGCTGCGTCCCCGCCGAGAAATGCATATCGGGTAAAACCATCCTATCCGCCCCTTCCCACTGTCCGCACTGAAACTGCGCGCGTGCGTTTAGAACGTCCACTCGACCGCGTCCTGCTGATGACGTGTGCCGGCGGAAGGAAAGCTCGCAGCGCTGATATTCTGGGTCATGTCTTTCTGGGTACTTGTCCGGTGACGCAACCTGTTGTGGGCAACACACATTAATAAGTGATGCAAGTTGCCATGGGTTATGCAAGTTGACTATCAAGGGGAAATATTTTTGTTCTATTTGAAGTAGTTGGCACTTTTTAGTAATTTAATACTTCGATATCCGAAATCCCTGCAATCTCGGCATCTTACATTTGTTACAATTTGTGCTGAAACAAATTTTAACTGTTTCATTTAGTCTTTGAACTGAGAATAAATACCTTCTGGGAGTAAAGTGGGAATAGCTCTAGAAATAAATTTTAATTAATTATTTATTTGCCTCCCAGTGATCGTGCTGCTGATCTGCGTTTGTGCGTGCGTGTGCGCCTGTCACAAACACCACCAATCCTCGCACCCCCTGATGGGGGGATCAGAAGACCACAACCCGCAAAGGACATCCTTCTATTGTGAATTCTCGAGCGCACCTGAGGGGTTCACCAACCAGGGTGTCGAGGGCTTCAACCCCAACGTTCACCTTGGGGATCATCGAAGATCCGGACCCTCTCAGAGGGAGATCATCTTGAGCCCCTTGCCCCCTTTGACCCACAGGGATGTGTACCAGCAAACTGCCCGCTTACCGCAGGGGTACGAGCAGGACTTAGGACACTACCACGTCTCCAAGCAAAGCCTAACCCAAGATCTCGGTCTCGAAGCACAAACACTCACCCACGAGTAAGTCCAATCTAATCGCCAAGCCTAGCATATCAAGGCTCATATATCAATTCCAGTCTCCAAATCAATCACACATTCAATGTTATAAACTCCAAGTCTCATTTTTTTATTTAAGCCTCATGTATCAATCACAATCACTAGTCCCACCCTTTGAGTTTCACTTCTCATGTCGCTCCTCACAAGTCACACCTAAAAAGTGTCACTCTACAGTCACAAATGTTAAATATCAAATCTCAAGCTTCACTCATCTCACACCGCACTAAGCTCTTCACACCGCACTAAGCATCAAGCAAGCAAATATTGTTCATCAGTCATAGATGCTAAGTTGCATCCTCCAAGTTCTATCAAACGAGTCCCACACCGTCGTATTCACCAAGTGTCACCTACGTATATAATGGCTCTACTGCACAAGTTTCGCCATCAAATCTCACCTAACTTGACCAACGCAGTCAGTAAGTCTCCTCAAGCAACGTTTACCTTTCCACTTTGATTCTGGTAGTCTCACCCAACTCGTCTCAACCACCCTCCACGGTGTTACAGCTTCATTATTTCTTAGAAGTAGTACTAACATTTTGACTCGCAGCAAGTTAACTAATACTACGGCAGCAAAAAATGAGTATTTGTATGGATGTCGGTTAATTTAATTCGTTTCATTGCTGTTTTTCCTAAATTATAAACTCTACGAACAAATCGGGTACGCTGTCAACGGGTATAAGTTGATGCTAGGATTTTACTGAAATTCAATCTGTCACTCGATTTACGAACCACTGAATTTATACGCTTATCATTTGTAGGTGGAATATCCTAATCAATTTTTCAGTGGAAAGGGAACTATTGGTGTAAGATAGGATTCATGCCAATGCGTGAAGAGTCGAAAGAATTCGTCGACGCGCGCCATCTGAGATGTCAAAAGAGTAATAGGATTTTATCGACGCGTGCTGTCCAATAGGAAGGTGGAGGGTCTTACTAGATCGGCTGGAACCCCCCGAACGCCTGGATTCTGGCAGCGTATTTCTAACTAAAGTTGAAGTTGGTGAAGAAAGAAATTGATGGCCGAGCGACGACAACCATACATGTTATCCTACTGATGTTCTGCATTATCCTCCTTAAAAGAATCGGACTCATGTATACCATACTACCATACTTTCCTGGTTATTTGATCTATACAGAACCTCACTACTCATCAAAAAATATTGCAACATTATTCGTACAAAATTTCCCACTTTAGCAATAACTTCTGAGGCCAGCAAGTCTACTTAGCATAGAATTTCAAAATTTACTTCAGTTGCTGAGGTTCTACAGACTTTCTATCTCACCTCATTGCGCATGTTACATACTTCGCATAGGGATCTGATCAGTGAAAAATGTTAATTTTGTGATTAGGAAATCATTGACACATTAATGTAAAAATGATGTTAACACTGGAAAATGTAAAAAAAACATTGCGATAAAACAGCTCCAATCTATTCGTGCTGCCGGGTTTACAAAGTTGTAGTCTCTCTGAACTACAAGGAGGTATGTCAATGCTTTTGACCGGTATTTTGTAGCCTGTGTTCCACATATGCTCAAGAATCACATAATAGAAGATAAATACAATAAAAATATCATAACCTTCATCAAATTTTCCAGTCAGGCAACGAGTAAACGGCCGTTTGTCGGGCAATACGGAGATGGACACATGCCGGCTATGCGCACGACCTCCGATGGCCATCACTTTCCTGTCCACAAAGGATACAACAGGGATGGTGGACAGGAGGTCGACGACACAGGGAGGCCCATAATGCACTCTCACAGCACCCACTGCATGGACATCGACAGGTCCCCCTACCTTTATCCCCAAGGGGAGGCCTGTTCCCCACCGTATCCCCAGGTTTACCCACACCCACTGGAGCCTTCGTATCCTCAGAGGCCAGCATATCCGAAAGTCCAATATGCCGGGCCGGGAGGAGGCGCAGGAGGAAGGATGTTGGGTGGCGGAGAAGGACGTTCAGAAAATATGGGGAGTACCACGAGGGGAGCTGGGGGGATGACAGGCCTCAAGCGTGTGCATAAAGTGTACGCTTTGAATGAGGCTTACGGGGAAGATGCGATATCGGGTGAGGAGGCGGCGAGGGGAGAATACGATTCACGCAATCGCACCACCAGGTAAATATGCTACAAATATGGCTGATTGTTTCAAAACTATTTACAACTTCTTGAAAACCTAAGCCATTTTGTATCAAATTGAATCCATATTATACACATGATCAATAATTCATTTTTTGTCACTCTGCAACTACATTGCGTAGCTATATTTAAAACTCCAGGGGCCATACTTTCAAAACTCGCTAAGTGAACGTAAATACTTACGCTCTATTTTCTTGTCTATGATTGGTGTATTTTGCTTGAAAGACCGTCAATGATTGGCTGATGAACTTACGATCTCTTAACTTTTTTTGAAAGTATGGCCCCTGATTAGGTTCCATTGCAGATGAAAGTAATTTTTCAGATGATGTTCGAACAAACGTAATTTGACTTTATATCTAGAAATTAAATTTCCAGGGTAAGCCATGTTTATATTGTGCAGACGACGAAATTTTAGCCTTTTTCTCCCAATTTCTTTATGATATTTTAGCAGCCGATCGCACAAATAAGAGTCAATTACTTGTTGCTAATAACCAAACCTTCACTCTTCAGCATCTCAGTACCCAGAGGATCTCTCCACGACTTCCGCCTGAAGAGGAACTACACGGTCGCTGCCGCCCACAAGCGGGTCCGGTCCAAGAAGTCATCCCCCCAACATGGTTCCTCCTTGTACCACCAGCAGCTGTCCATGCCCAGTGAATCTTTCCAGCAGCTGGCAGTGCCAGAGTATGAGCAGCGGAGTGCCCAGCACATCGAGTGTATAGAGAAGGCCTTCGGCTCCATGGACGTCAAACACAAGCTGGATAAAACCAAGAAAAAGAAGAATTCAGGGGAAGAACAGGCGCCCGTCGTGCTTCCATTGCCAAGGTAAATTTTACATTTTAATTATTCAATGAACGGTATCAACTGTTCATAATTTTTCAATGCTGCAAAAATAGTATAGTATGTTAGTTGGCCGTCGTTTGTTCAAGCAACATTTTTGAAAATGCTGACAAATAGAACATATTATAAAATTTAAATAAAATTGATTTATTTACTAATTTAAATAGTCAGTCATCATATGAGTACGTATAAAAGATGGTCTCTGTTAATTTGATTTGCTTGCTAGAACATAGAAGCAAATATATAAAAAAAGGTTTCTATTTTTTGGACAGTTGCTCGGAAGAAGTAATGAAAGTCATCGGACTGGACTCATCACTTGTGGATATGATGCAGGAACAAAAGTTTCAGTTTGAAAAAAATCTACGCGACGAAGAGCCAGATTTCATGAATGACAAAAATCTACGGGGCGACGAACCAGTATTTCAGAGTAACGATTCAGAACGCAACAACGAACTTGGCTACGTCACTGGTATCGTTCACAATTCGAGCAGAATTCATCACCATGACAGAAATGAACCAAAATACCGAAGCCGTGACCAGCTACACGACTCAGAAATGATACCTGAAAAAGATACCTCAGGTGCACAAGGGACATACAAGACGTCGGAAATTACGAGCCCTAACGTCGATATCGTGCAGAGGATTGAGGAGATCAAGGAAAGGATTGACGTGCTGACGAAGGCCAAGGAAAAGGCGATAAGCCAAAGGAAGACGTCGGAAATCCGAACTCCGGTTGTGAATAAATCCTAGATTTATTGTAATTTTCCCGTTACTAATTAAGAAAAAATGTTGAGATGTAAGGAATGTTTGAGAACTAATTCTCATACTATATAACGAGTTCTGGGAGGTGAAAAATGGAGTAGTAGAGGCAGAACAATTGTATTAGATTAGGTTATGATGAGGAACTCAGGCAGTCATTAGAGGTAAAAGATTACGACTTGAGAACTTAAGATGGAGAAAAATTGACTGAAAAAAATTGAAAGGGCGATATTGACTTTAATTTTGAGAAGACGATAAGGAATAAATAATGTGAATTCTAAAAACTTGATCTGTAGTAAATTCTGGCTCAATAACTTTAGGTAAAAATACTGACTTGAGAACTTTAGACGAGGATTGTGGCTTAATAATAATGATTAAGGATTCTTCGCTGATGGTACTGACTTAAGAAGGAACTTGAAATGACGATACAGAAACAAATGACTTAAGTAGGAACTTGAAAAGGCGATACAGAAACAAATGACTTGAATAGAAACTTGAAAATACGATACAGAAACAAAAACTTGCGCTGAAGATAATGATTTAAAAACTTTAGCTGAAAAAAGATACTTGGTGGTGCAGTGCACTGAGGGTAGTTAGTTCAGACACTTGCTTGAAGTGACAAGCTCAGTGGTGCGCGATGGATTTACGAGGTAAAATAAAGATTTGATTTACAAAATCAGTCTTCAGAAAACAATGAGTGTATACTTAAAATAAAATGGAATTAAGCATAAAATTGAAATTAAATGTATAAATGAGATGCTTATTGTGTAAATAAGAAGCAACATGAATTAGAGACGCAAGATAGGATGCTCTTTAGTTATATAAAATAAGAAAATGTTAGTGAGATTAGTTTTAGGTTTGTAATATGTCTTTTATGCATTGATTCAAGACGAAAATGTTCATATTTCAAATAAAAGTTGAATTAATATAGTATTCAGATCACATACTATAAAATTATTTTATGAATCGGATTAAAATTTTGAAATGGAATTAATTTATTAAATACAATAGACCAGGAATGTTTGAGATTTATATGATAAGATTTGAAGTAGATAGTTGGGATAGCATTATATTACGAAAATAAAAAGATTCTTATAAAAACGTTAGAGATTCCGGTAACATCTCGGATATTTGATGTTATATTGATGTTGGATTATGAAATCGTTACTATTGAAGAAAACATTTATAAACGAGCAAAATTTTAAATTTGTTATTAAAATAAAAATTTTTGTACATACGAAAGGCGAAATAAAAAAGGATGGTGAGCATGAGCACCCGCCCAAGGATAATAAATGTATGGTAAATAAATGTATGGTCAATAAATGTATGGTCAATAAATGTATGGTTGGGGTATGTGGGGTTACTGGCCATTCGTGACTGGCCAACCTCACCACTATCACCACCACCTCTTTCACCACCTCCATCACCCTCACCATCACCACCCTCAACTCCACTACCATCGCCACCATTACCCTTGCCTCCTCAAAACTACCCTCACCATCACTTCCATTACCACCACCCTCACCATCACTTCCATTACCACCACCCTCACCGCCAACACCATTACTACCAGTACCATCGCCACCACTAACCTCACCACCACTACCCTCAGCACTTCAACACCGCCCTCACCACTACAATTACCCTCACCATTACCACTACCCTCACCCCAACCACCGTCATCACCACCACTTACTACCTACACCTACAGGAGTTTCTCCGTCAGTAGTGCGGCAGCGTCCGCGGTGAGAGGATACCTTGTGTTGTTTCTCTGCCCTGATCGCATGCCGGCGATGCCCTGACCTCACGTGGGTATGTAGCCTTCATACCTGCATGTAATGCCCACATAGTGACTACATTTGATGCCCTCATAGCCATCACATGGCGCTACATAACATGTAACATATATAATAACTGTATAATGCGTGATAAATATATGAGTGATATACAGAGATAAGAAATAAGATACGTGACGGTAAATTATGTGTAAAAAAGATACGAGTAATATACAGCGAGAGAAATAAAAGTAAAAAAGAAAATAAAATCAACGCTAAGTGATAAATTGAGCTAAAAAGAGTTATTTGAAGTGTTATATATGATATCTGTATAGATAAAATTGCTACAGATAAAGAAATGTGAGTTTAATACATGCGTATGAATACGAGATATAGTATGGTAAAAATACGAAATATATACAGCGGGATGATTGCGTGAGATATACAACGTTCATATACAGAATTATATTCACTGCAATAAATACAAGAGACGTATATAAAATGGCAGGTATACAAAGGATGTGCAGCTGCAGATATACAAGTGATGTTCGGCAGCAGATGTATGAGTGATGTATAGCAGCAGATGTATGAGTGATGTACAGCAGCAGATATATGTGATGTATAGCTGCAGATGTATGAGTGATGTACAGCTGCAGATGTATGAGTGATGTACAGCAGCAGATGTATGAGTGATGTACAGCAGCAGATGTATGAGTGATGTACAGCAGCAGATGTATGAGTGATGTACAGCAGCAGATGTATGAGTGATGTACAGCAGCAGATGTATGAGTGATGTACAGCAGCAGATGTATGAGTGATGTACAGCAGCAGATGTATGAGTGATGTACAGCAGCAGATGTATGAGTGATGTACAGCAGCAGATGTATGAGTGATGTACAGCAGCAGATGTATGAGTGATGTACAGCAGCAGATGTATGAGTGATGTACAGCAGCAGATGTATGAGTGATGTACAGCAGCAGATGTATGAGTGATGTACAGCAGCAGATGTATGAGTGATGTACAGCAGCAGATGTATGAGTGATGTACAGCAGCAGATGTATGAGTGATGTACAGCAGCAGATGTATGAGTGATGTACAGCAGCAGATGTATGAGTGATGTACAGCAGCAGATGTATGAGTGATGTACAGCAGCAGATGTATGAGTGATGTACAGCAGCAGATGTATGAGTGATGTACAGCAGCAGATNTCCCCACTGCCCCCCAATTGTGGACCCCCACTGCACCGCCCCCCGCCCACCACGAGAAGCGGATCACGAATATACGAAAGTCGCCGGTGACTTTCTTTGTGAATGTGAGTGGGAAAGTTACAGCAGTTCGGGCGTGAGTGAATGCGGGACGGAGTGTCAATGCGGGACGGAGTGCGACTGCCGGGACCCGCGGGACCCGTGGGACTCGCGGGACCCGTGGGACTCGCGGGACGAGCTCCCGACGGTGCGGTGGACAGCACGGCTGCTGGGGGGCGGGGAGGAGGAGGTCGAGGCCTTCAAAGCGGACAAAATTGCGGCCGCTAAGAAGTGACGTCATTGTAATTACTGGCCATTTGCAAATTATCTTCATTTATTATCTATCTATATTTATTTATATATCCATACATTTTTCTATAGAAAGCTTTACATAAACATGTACCTAAAGTACGATATAATTAGCATATTTTAATATTAAAACATCTATACTACCCCCGAGTTTTATTATCATTACTGATCCGATATTTTCAACTAAATCACATTTCCAGCATTAACATCACAACTGAATACTACTGATCCTACTCCTCTAGTGCAAACTTCCAATCGATCCTTGATCTTTATTTATCATTTCGGCTAAAATGTAACCTTTTAAAATTTTGCTTCGAAAAACTTTGTCGCTATATTTTATTTGTGAAATTTCTATACGATGCATAACGAACAGATGAGAAAATATAACTCAGTACTCACTGCAGTCGTCGTCGACGAAAACGTCTACGAAAACGTGAAGCCACTGACAGACGGACGGACATGACTAGCACAATAGCACCTTTTTTCCATAAATGAGAAAATGCGCTAAAAAGTTGAACATGTAAACATAATAATAAGATGTTTGCCTACTAAAAACAGGAGTAACATTACCGCCCGGCGCTTCTAAAAAGCACTGTTTATTTACAGGTAGCATAACATAACATAACATAACATAACATAACATAACATAACATAACATAACATAACATAACATAACATAACATAACATAACATAACATAACATAGGTCTGTGGCAAGTCATTGGCAGGTCGGTGGCAAGTCTGTGTTGGGTAGTGTAATGTAAGCGACTGGTTGGTATCAGGTCTTCATGCATTCAGCGCCCGTTGCCTATAGAAGAATTAATATATTTGGATACACATCACAGTGGCTGAATAAATCCTATGGGATTTATGCGCTACTGGAACGCTAGTTAAGAATTAAAACGCTTTTCAAAATTGAAATTACAAAACCTATTGCTATTGCCAATAGTTATTTATCTTGAAAGAAAAAATTCCACCGAAATTAATCGCCATTTCAAAATACTGATTGGAAGTGAACAAATAAAATTTAAGAAACAAATAGAGGTGCCAGCGTCAAGCGCTCGACCCGTTGCATGGAATCCTAATCCCTTCACGGATTCAAAGAACAGCGGCAATTGTTCCTATATAAACACTAAAAAAGTAATATTTTAAACCATTGTATACGAAATCGTTAAACAGTCATCAATGTCATCAACGTTCCGCGACGAGTTATCGTTCGTAGACTTTAGAGTTCATAGGGTATGTAGGTGCTAGCTTGCACGATCGCGTTTATAATGTAATTCCTGAGTAATGTAACTATAAATGTGGAATGTCTTACGCATGAAATGTCTTAAATGTGTAACTTCTTACGCATGAAATGTCTTGCGTCGTCTAAATGGTCGAGAAAACTACCCTTGTGGCCATTACCTACGTATAGGCTGAACAAAACGCTTAACTGAATAAGCTGTGTACTAACTTGGTGGGAAGACGTTAATGGATAAAAAAAACCGTCTACACAGATCGGCTTTTGTAGTTTCTAGCAAAAATAGAGAATATCAATTAAACTAGTTATTAAGATGTGTAACTAGAGGCGAGAAAAAAGTTTGACGTTTAAATGACCAATAAAAAGATCGAAGTATGATTGATAAATTCGTTGTTCTGAGAATTGAATATCGAAACAATGAATAAAGTGTGAAAATTAATATATGTCCGCAGTTACATTCAGCCGCTCATGTGGGTTGAATGTTGAAGTAGGCTTAGCTTCTCGTAACATGCCCTATCACCGCCATTGTTCTACATGAATTATTAATACATCGAAGCAGCAATAATTCAAGTGTGTTAGTTACTCTTATGAGTCTTATCCTGGTATAAATATTGAAAACGCGAAACGAACAATAAATAGTCAGATATATAATTGATTAGAATGTAACACGAAAGTTACTAAGCTAGCCGTGTAACCGCGCCGGTCTAAAAAAACAGCGTTGGAACACATCCATGCGACAACATTTCTTCTCGCTTCGAGTCACCGACATGTGTAACAGCCTCCCTGATAGCATCGTTGAAGCTCCGAGTATGAACATTTTCAAAAACAGACTAGACGAAGCTATGCAGGAGCATATGTTCAGTCTTAAAATGCCTAGCAAATTACGGACCAGGTAATAAGAATAGACGAAGCTATGCAGGAGCATATGTTCAGTCTTAAAATGCCTAGCAAATTACGGACCAGGCAATAAGTCCAGCAGCTATCTCAATCTAAAAAAAAAAATCTAAATATTTTGAGCAATTTCACTATTAGTTAGTGATGAAGTTTGTGCAGCCCCGGCGTGGGTATCACCTTTCTATATCCAAACATTCACTAGCAATCAAGAATCGTGACAAATAACTAGCAATTAGTGATCAGTGGGTTAAGCATCAGTTTAATGTGGTTAATTTAGGTAACCTTGTAGCTAACGTAACAACCCTCGTAATTCAACGATTAGCAAGAAATGGAAATTCGTACATGGTTGGTAATTCAATGCTCGCATATTACCTTCGATGGCTGGAAGGTAACTTAATGGGTTATGTAGGTAAATGTTTGGTTAGCCGTGTAAACAAACAAGTCTAAAGAAATCCGCAATCTTTAAAGATTTATATTCAATAAATATTTCATATCGAAAGCCTTAAAGCTGAGAACGAAGCCAAATCTTCAACAAAAGCATGGGATGTCTTTATCAAGTCTCTGATGTGTTTTTATTCAGGTCTCTGATGTGTCGCAGCTTTAATAAGACCGAGCGCTGCGCCATTCAATAGCTACCTTAATACCGCGAATATTTCTCAATAAAATTTATGAATATAGCTAATATTTCTGAATAATGTTTCTGAATACAGCAAAAATATTTCTTTTCCGAATGAAGACGCTAAAAGGATCCAAGGAGAAGAAAAAACTTGAAATATCAGGCGATCTTTTATTTATAATTTAAATTCTCTAATAACAGTCGAGATCCGCAATAATGGTGGTGTGGTGGTCGATAATAGTAGATAGGTAGTAAACTGTATAAAGGCAAAGGTCCCAGGGAGAATAAAAAACTTGAAATAGCAGGCGATCTTTTAATTAGAAGTTCACTTCTCTAATAACAGTCGATATCCGCTGGTGGTGGAGATTGTGGAGTGATATGCTTGTGGTGGTGGTGGAGTGTTATGGTGGTCGTGGTGATAATGTCATTAGACACTACCACTGCAGACATACATATATAGTAAACTATAGACATGGTACGTGGGGCCGACGTGGTACGTAGAACCGACATGGTACGTGGGGCCGACATGGTATGTGGTGCCAATATGGTACGTAGAACCAACATGACACGTAGAACCATCATGGTACGTAGAACCGACATGGTACGTGGTGCCGACATGGTACGTAGAACCAACATGGTACGTGGTGCCGACATGGTACGTAGAACCGACATGGTACGTGATACAGACATGGCAGGTAGAGCTGACATGGCAGGTAGAGCTGACATGGTACGTGATAACGACATGGCAGGTAGAGCTGACATGGTACGTGGAGCTGACATGGTCTAGGAGACGCCGTGAGTGCGGCTGACGGCGAGACGCTGACGCTGGTCTGACATGACGTCGTAACGCAGCAGCGACATCGAGAACGACGCGCGACCTGACGTCAGCCTACGCAGCGCTGACGCGTAGCCCAGCAGCTCTGCCAGCGGGACGTGTGCCTCCACATGCTGGGGACCACACGGCATGACAGGGACCACACGGCATGACAGGGACCACACGGTATGCCAAGGACCGCANTATTGGAAGGACCACACGGCATGTCACATCATCGCAAATAGTATGTGATGAATATTTGGTGATAATCACCCCCAACTGACATAATGAGGGCATAATCACCCCCAGCTGACATAATGAGGGCAAAATCACCCCGGTTGACATGATGAGGGTGATAATAATGGCCTAATCACCCCTGCCTAATAATGGACTAATAATATAATAATAATAATAATGAGGGCCTAATCACCCATGCTGACATGATGAGGGCATAATCACCCCCAGCTGACATAATGAGGGCGAAATCACCCCTGCTGACATGATGAGGGCATAATCACCCCCAACTGACATAATGAGGGCATAATCACCCCTGCTGACATAATGAGGGCATAATCACCCCTGCTGACATATTCAGAACTTAATCACCACCACTATCTGAAATGATGAGGGCATAATCACCCCGATAGGACGAGTGTCAGCTCACCTTGGTGTCGTTCCTGACAAGGACGTGTCTGACGTCAGCTGAACGTTTCTTGAGGTCAGCGATGAGGAGGTCAGCGTGGTCAGCGTCAGCCGCAACCGTCAGCAGCATGATAGGCTCTGCCAGCCGGCAGTCAGCTTCGGCAAGCAGCTGCAAAAGTGACGACATTACGTTGCTGACACGCGAGCTGACAAAGTCACTAAGTCCGATAAGTCCAATAAGCCAAAGTCCAATAAGCCATAAGTCCAATAAGCCACAAGTCCATTAAGTCCAATAAGCCACAAGTCCGTTAAGTCCAATAAGCCAAAGTCCAATAAGTCCAATAAGCCATAAGTCATAAGTCTGATAAGTCCAATAAGCCATAAGTCCGTTAAGTCCAATAAGCCAAAGTCCGATAAGTCCAATAAGCCATAAGTCCGTTAAGTCCAATAAGCCCAATAAGTCATAAGTCCGATAAGTCCAACAAGCCATAAGTCCGATAAGTCCAATAAGCCATAAGTCCGATAAGTCCAATAAGCAATAAGTCCGGTAAGTAGTAGTAGTAGTAGATTTTTCCCATAAGACCTTAGGCAACATAGGTACCATTCTACCTACCATAAGACCCCTCAGGTAACAAGAACCTATTTTTTGCTTTAAGAACCCAGAGTTCGTTCAGACCTTAGGGGCACACACCCAAGGTCGTGCTGGAAGCACCCACTACCTACGGCAACCAAATGCCGCCCACCAAAGTCACCGAAAAAAGTACAGAGATTACCAAGGTTCCAGCCCAGAGCTAACTCCTCTTATCTTGGTGCCGCCATCACTGTGCTTACAGTGGTGCTAACCACTGCGTTACAGTGGCCTCTAGCGCTTCAGAAAATCCTAATCCATTTCGCGCCGAAGGTTCCATTCTGATTTACGCTGCGCCGTCGTTCTCGAGAGTTTCTGATTTGCAGTCTGGTCCACTCAGCGGTGGTGGTCGTTTCTTGCTTCCAGTGCGGATGTCCGCACTGGAATCACTGGAACCGTTCCCACATCGCTCGGTGCAGCGGTCAAGGCTTGCCGTCGCGAGGATTGGGATACGAGTCGTATGATGAGTGTGTGAGTGACATCACCTTGGGGCACACGAGGCAGGCCTAGAGTTCCCAAAGTTGATCACATTGAGTTCGATATCGATTGAGGTTGTCTTTTCCGAAGTTAAATCGAAAGACCTCGTAAAGATTTTGTCCGGGTTTGGTACTAGTAGGTTGTAGAGGGGTATTTGGGAAGCAGTTTCTCCGGTCGACGCTGTAGTTGATGGCACTCTGCAATCGCGTGCAGAACAGTTAGGGGGACTAGACAGTCGTTGCAGTAAGGAACGTATGGGGTCTTGGGACTAGCTAAGGACTCCCAGGAGCTCAGCGGTGCAGGTTGACGAATTAGGGTTGAGTCTTCTTGAAATTAATGCAGCACCGGACACGACGCACAGCCCACTGCACCGTCCGATTTGTAGCCATCTGTGTAGATGTGCGTCGATCCCACATGCTACCTGGTTACTTGGATTAGGATTTTGTTTTTCAGCGCTGTCGGATGTGTTGTGGGTTTTTCTGGGTAGTTTTTATCTGAACGGAAAAAATCTACGAACATTCACCACGTGTCCATCTCCTTGAGGTTCACAGGTCTCACTCGTATCTCTGGTATCTGTGGTGCTGCCAGAAGTGTTCCATGGTTTTCAGAGGACGGGACCTTGTCTGAGAGTAAATTTACTCGGTAGTCGGCCATAACGCTACGCAATTTTGGGGACTGCGGGAGTTATTTGAGGAGCGTTATTAATTAGAGCATGAGATACGCACTGTGTAGTTAGTAGAGTGGTGGCGGTTCAGCGCTCTCTGTATAGAAGCTGATGACGGGCGATGTTCTAAAGACTCCGGTGCATTTCCTTGCAGTTGTGTTACGGATAGAGTCCACTAGTGATAGCGTTGTAGTCATGCTCTTTCATATGACATTTTGCTGGCGATGCTGCCACTGCGCTGGAAGCGACGCTAGGCTCGTTTCCTTTCCAGGTTTGCGCGAGTGCAGCAATCGTACCACTATGGGGCACGGTGGCGGAAAATTTCGTCTTGGGAGTAAGAATCGCTGTATTCGCAGCCATTCAGATGGTATCTGCGAATTAGCTTGTCATTTCGTTCATAGACAAGTCCAGTTTTGATTCTGGCATGTGTGTCTCATTCTGAACGTCTTTCACTCGGCGCTTTTTATGATTTATTAAGATATATCTGGGTTCAGTGGGTAAGGTCTGGTGTATCGCAAAAACTTTCAGTATAAGGAAGTGGTCGCTGCCATATGTGTCGTCCATTGAGTGTCATTGTCCAAAAGCCAGCCCACTAAGGCCAATAAGCCAACCAACTAAGTCCAATAAGCCAACCAACTAAGTCCAATAAGCCAGTCCACTAAGTCTAATAAGCCGGCCTATTAAGGCCAATAAGCCAGCCCACCGAATCCAATAAGACAGCCCACTAAGGCCAATAAGCCAGCCAACCAAGTCCAATAAGCCAGTCCACTAAGTCTAATAAGCCGGCCTACTAAGTCCAATAAACCAGCCCAATAAGCCAGCCCACTAAGTCTAATAAGCTAGCCCAATAAGACCAAAAACTCAAACCCACTAAGTCTAATAGGCACTAAATCCCCTGAGGTAGCCCACTAAGTCTTCTGAGGCAGCCCACCAAGTCCCCTAAGCCAGTCCACCTGCTTGAGGCATTGGGCGGCCGTGGAGGCGAGGACGGCGGAGGCGGTGGAGCGGCTGGCGGTGCAGTGCAGGAGGTGGACGGCGGCGCCGTGGACGGGGTAGCCGAGGACGGGCCCGTAGCTCAGGGCGCCGTCCACGCCCCTCCTGAGGGCGGCGAGCTGAGGGCGCTTCAGGCTGTCCAGGTTCTGAGGGAAGCCCAAGACGAGGTTGGCAAAGCTAGCACTACGCAAATGGGATAAATTTACAGTTTTATTCATATATATATTAATTCATACATACGGTATATTTATATTTGGTGTAGTTCGGCAGAAGCTTCTCTTTTATGCAAGTGCCGCGGGTGATCGTCGGGTGCCGGGTCCACGCTCAGGGTGAGGCTCACCAGCTGCTTCACCCCACCTGGGGCAGGGGGAGGACAGGGTGAGGCTCGCCCTGTCACGCAGGTAGGGGTGATAATCACCTAAGTAGGGGGTGATAATCACCTTAGTAGGGGGTGATAATCACCTAAGTAGGGGGTGATAATCACCTTAGTAGGTGGTGATAATCACCTAAGTAGGGGGTGATAATCACCTAAGTAGGGGGTGATAATCACCTAAGTAGGGGGTGATAATCACCTAAGTAGGGGGTGATAATCACGCAGGTAGGGGTGATAATCACCAATTGTTTTGTCGACGGTGATGGTCCTGGAGGCGGAGGCCTGCGGGTGTTCTCTGTAGGCGACCTGGAGGCGGCCCACCTCCACCTCCACCTGGTGCCGCGTCCTCAACCCCTCCACCACCACCTCCAGGTGCAGCTCACCCATCCCTGTAACCGGTGGACATGGTGGATGNCATATAATAAACATAACCTGTACATATACAATAATTATACAGTTATACATGGCCTGTACATATTCAATAATATTATTAGAAGATCAAACGTATCATATAATGAAGATAACCTGTACATATTCAATAATTATACCGTTATACCTTACCTGGATATTTACAATAATTAAACCGTTATACATTCAACAGTCCAATAAAATCAACTGTTCAATATACATAGTAAAAGAAATATAACTTTTACACAGCAAGTTATGAAAAAAGATATACTGGAATAATATCATTAATCAGGGAATATAGATGCAGAGCACCGAGGATGTGGAGACTCACCAATAGCACAGAAGAATAGAATAGAAAGAATTCTATTCTATTCTGAATAAAATAGAAAGAATAATCACCAATAGCACAGAAGAATAGAATAGAAAGAATTCTATTCTATTCTGAATAAAATAGAAAGAATAATCACCAATAGCACAGAAGAATAGAATAGAAAGAATTCTATTCTATTCTGAATAAAATAGAAAGAATAATCACCAATAGCACAGAAGAATAGAATAGAAAGAATTCTATTCTATTCTGAATAAAATAGAAAGAATAATCACCAATAGCACAGAAGAATAGAATAGAAAGAATTCTATTCTATTCTGAATAAAATAGAAAGAATAATCACCAATAGCACAGAAGAATAGAATAGAAAGAATTCTATTCTATTCTGAATAAAATAGAAAGAATAATCACCAATAGCACAGAAGAATAGAATAGAAAGAATTCTATTCTATTCTGAATAAAATAGAAAGAATAATCACCAATAGCACAGAAGAATAGAATAGAAAGAATTCTATTCTATTCTGAATAAAATAGAAAGAATAATCACCAATAGCACAGAAGAATAGAATAGAAAGAATTCTATTCTATTCTGAATAAAATAGAAAGAATAATCACCAATAGCACAGAAGAATAGAATAGAAAGAATTCTATTCTATTCTGAATAAAATAGAAAGAATAATCACCAATAGCACAGAAGAATAGAATAGAAAGAATTCTATTCTATTCTGAATAAAATAGAAAGAATAATCACCAATAGCACAGAAGAATAGAATAGAAAGAATTCTATTCTATTCTGAATAAAATAGAAAGAATAATCACCAATAGCACAGAAGAATAGAATAGAAAGAATTCTATTCTATTCTGAATAAAATAGAAAGAATAATCACCAATAGCACAGAAGAATAGAATAGAAAGAATTCTATTCTATTCTGAATAAAATAGAANATAGAAAGAATAGAATAGAAAGAATAGAATAGAAAGAATAGAATAGAAAGAATAGAATAGAAAGAATAGAATAGAAAGAATAGAATAGAAAGAATAGAATAGAAAGAATACTAACCAATGGCACAGAAGAAAACAGGCTCTGGTACTTTCACCCCCACCAGGAGATGCTCGTTCTTCTCAACGCTGTCTTCATCATCACTGTCACCATCTTCAGCACCAGCACTAGCACTAGCACTACCAGCACTAGCACTAGCACCAGCACTAGCTCTGTCAGCACCAGCACTAGCTCTGTCAGCACTAGCACTAGCGTTGCCAGTATCAGTGTTCCTGAGTCGTAGTCTAGCAGCTCGTACGTCGTCCTTGCTGCTGACGAGGGTGTCACCGGTGCTGGTGTTCTGCGCACAAACAGATGAACTTACAGCACCAACCATCACCAACGAATACCTCACAGCACCAACCATCACCAACAAATACCTCACAGCCTTAACCATCACCAACAAATACCTCACAGCACCAACCATCACCAACAAATACCTAGATATCACCATCATCACCTTCAGCCCTGCCAGCACCATCATCACCATCAGCCCTGCCAGCACCATCATCACCTTCAGCCCTGCCAGCACCATCATCACCTTCAGCCCTGCCAGCACCACCATCACCTTCAGCCCTGCCAGCACCATCATCACCTTCAGCCCTGCCAGCACCATCATCACCTTCAACCCTGACATCACCTTCAGCCCTGCCAGGACGACGATGCTGCCAGCAGGGACGCTGTCAGTAGGCAGGAGGTCGCCTCCCAGCGCCACGTACATCCTGGCAGGCCGCTCCTGGCAACGCTGGGACACGTTGTACAGCGGCTTGTTCTGCCAACACAATAACAATTATGTTCATTATTGCTTTATTCATTTATAATATACAATACAAATAATACAGTATATTAACAACACAAATTCGGCCAGAAACACAATTTCGTATTGAAAACACAAGCACTTACACGATAATAAATGAATGAAAGAATAGCATAACATACCACAAATGAATCTTCATCAACAATGAAACCAACATTGTACAAATTTATTCGTCAGTGCAAGCGTTTACACGCTTACAAATTTTTTGACTAAATTTTACCAATGGCTTGAGAAAATTTCAAAGCTAAGCAACAGTGCATTGAAAACTGCACAGTTGTAACTGAAACAACATTGGCAGTGTTGATGTCACTAACACTAAAAGCCTGCAGTAATACAAACATTACCCTCACTGAGCAAGTAACTACAGCATTACCCTCACTGAGCAAGTAACTACAGCATTACCCTCACTGAGCAAGTAACTAAAGCATTACCCAGTTATTACCTTGTCAATGGCGCCGCTGTAGACTCGCACGAAGGTAAGCAGGCCGCCCCTCTGAGGGTCGTACGTCACCTTGAACGCCAGGGCACACAGCGACCCTGGTGACAATACCATCTTAATACCTTCAAAGGCCATCTTAATACCATTATATAATACCATCATTATATGGTATTAATGCTATCTTAATACCATATTAATACCATCTTAATACCATATTAATGCCTTCTTAATACCACATCAACATCTCACCATTAATTATACCGTGACAGTGACAACTTATTCTGACACTGCCGCTACCAGGGAGGGATCTATCAACATTTGCTATAACTTCTGACGCATGCTATAAAACATGAAGCATCATTAACAACCCTTTTTACATTGAACAAATTACACAGATAAGTGTATTGATGAGCTATATTACACACAAGAATATATCAACATGACTAATAAATGTTACAGCAACAATGTTGACATTACCACTGTAGAGCTGGGCTGTGGGTATAAACAAATGATGTAATATACAAATGATGATGTAGATACAAATGAAAAACGCGGGTACCTAATGATGATGCGGGAAATACAAATGATGTTCTAGTGGTCCACCTGCTGCAATGATATATTTACGTTGAAATTACCCAGAATTTAATATTCTGGATAATTAATTATTCAGAATTTAATATTGTGTTCTGGTAATTAATAATTACCAGAACACACTAGAATAAATAACATGACTAATAAATCTGGCAGCAATAATGTTGAAATTACCCTTGTAGAGCTGGGCAGCGGCTGGGAGTCTGTCATGGGGCGCTGGGAGGTAGCGCAACATGGCGTCCATGAGAGGTTGTACAGCCGTGTTGCGGTAGATCGTGTGGCACAGTCTCCATGCTCTCACTCTGCAAGATGTGCTCTGCTACAGAGTTGTCCAGGTCGCCCAGAGCGTCAATGAGCGCCGTCCTCGCCTCAGAGTAGACAGAGTAAAGCTCTGGGTCAGAGGCTTCGCTCACACTCTGAGCACTCACAGAGTAAGACGCTCCTCTGTCTGCTCTGCAACATGTTGCATTGTAGTTAAAACTCGGTATTGTATTTTACATAATAATTTTAGTTTATAATAATGAAAACTTTCTATTAGGTTTATAACAATATCAATGATAACTTTGAATGATATTTTTAACAATAATGATAACAACAAAGCATTTTTATAAAGATGGCAAGTCTGTGATTAATGAATGATAATATTTGTGTTATATGACACAATTGTTTCAGTTATAATGTTTCAGTTTAACCTGTTATGACAGCTCTTACAAATAATTATGCTTTTAGATGTAACCATCATTATTGATTAAAAAAGTGACGTAACAATGATAAAAAATTGATAATTTATTTTATAATTATAGAAGTATTAGATATATGAGAAACTGAGCCAGAATAATGACTGGTAAGCTGACCTTTGCTATTGCCGTGGTCCCAGCACAGCTTACGTCCTGAGATCAGGTCTACTACGCCATGGAAGCTTTTGCCCGTGCCTAAGGGGACCTGTCAAATTTAAATTAATCATAAACTATCTATTTTAATATAAACTATTATCTATTTTTTAGAAACTATTAATAATATTCAATTGCCTGCATAAATTCTTACGAGTTCAGAATCTACTGTAAAACATGAAGCAGTTTCAATGAAAATTGTTGAGAAATTTGGTTCATTTGCAAAGAAAATAAGTGGTCAACTGAAATGTCAAAATAAAGAGTTCAGGGTTGACTGAAAAATTTCTGCTATTGCTTCAGAGAAGAAATTTGCTTTTAAAAGCAATTTTTTTAAATTTCTCAACAAAATTTTTTAGTAAAGCAAATTGTAGAACAACTTGTATGGTTTATCTTGCCAGTTGCTCTCACAAACAACTAGCATTAACCTGCAGTAGGAGGGGCCGGGCCTGGAGCTTGCCCCTGATTTGCTGGAGGCAGAGCTCATAAGAGGCCATGGCTTTGTCCATCTTGTTGAGGTACACAAGACGTGGCACCCCATAGCGGTCAGCCTGTTGCCACACGGTGACAGTCTGCGCCTCCACACCTGGGGTACATAAAGCGGTCAGCCTGTTGCCATACTATGACAGTCTGTGCCTCCACACCTGAGGTATAGATGGGTCTGGGGTGTTCTGCGGTCTGTGTCTCCACAGATAAGAACTGACCAGCAGAAGATCAGGCAAAAAGATAAAAACGGACCATCAAAAAATCAACAAGAAGATAAGAACTGACCAGCAGAAGATCAAGCATAAAAATAAGAACTGACCAGCAGAAGATCAAGCAAGAAGATAAGAAGTGACCACCAAACAATCAACAAGTTCTAAGATAAAAACTGCCCAGCAGAAGATCAATCATAAAGAAAAGAACTAACCAGCAGAAGATCAAGCATGAAGATAACTAACCAGCAGAAGCATCCAGCACAGCAACAGCCCCATCTGCCACCCTGATTGCTCGCTCCACCTCAATAGTGAAGTCAACATGGCCTGGAGTATCAACCAGGCTGATTGTGTGGTCACGCCATGGGAACGTTACAGCAGCGGTTTGTATGGTGATACCTGTGAGAAGAATAAATTGTGATGTAGAGGATATGGATTGAAACAGCAAACACTGTTTAAGTGTAGTGCACATCATGACTGAGAACATATATAATTTATAGAAGTTACATGGAAATAGCAAGGTTGTTATGATGAAGAAAGAAATTGGCAAACAATGTCAACATGATTGTGAAGTCTCTAATACAATAGAAGATAACCGGTACCTGTTTAAGCTGAACTACCTTATTCTATGGTTTTCAAACCATAGGTTTGGCATTAAAATCCCGAAAAACCCTTATTCTATGGGTTTGGCTTTAAAATCCCAAATAACCCTTATTTTACGGTTTTCAAATAAATCATGTAGCTGTGTAGCAAGCTTGACTGTAGAACTTTCTCACACTGAACTCAAGTTGTGATACTAATTTATATTATAAATTTGAACAAAGAATTCAATTGCAGAGCAAATAAGAGAGATAACTCATGAAGTGAAATGATGAGATTAGTCACCTCTCTCCCTCTCCAGATCTAAAAAGTCCATAGTGGTGTCACCGTGATGCACCTCTCCCAGTGTTGTCTGAAAACCACTGTAGTAAAGCATGCGCTCTGTGGTTGTTGTTTTACCTGAAAAAAAAAAACAGTCTGTGAGTATGGAAATGAATGGAAATTAATAAAACAGTAATTTGAACTAGCACTATATGTAAAAAAACGTGCTACATGCACTATAGATATTTACAGACTTGAAAAGAAAAGGCTATAAGCACTGCAAGAAAAATTTCATTTCAATTGCAGCATTATAAATTGCAAAAATTTCAACAAAAATTGCTGTGTATATATCATAACTGCCCACTATCAGCACAAACCAGCATCAATATGTGCCATGATTCCAACCACTCGGTAACGGCCAACATCATGGGCAGGCTTTTCATTCCTCCTGCAGCCAGTCACACTAATTGCTCTGCGTTGATGATACCAATGACCATTTTTCCCAGACCATATCACCCACTTTGGCAAGGCTCTGAAAAGAAGAATGCATAATTAACAAAAAAATAAAATATTTCAAATAAAATAACTGATAAAAATAAAATTGCATAGAATTGAATGCAATTTTTAGTTTGTTTTTAATTCAGATATAAAATGTTTTTTATTCAGGTATAAATGTATAATATTGATAGCAATCCATAGCATGAAGCATCTATTGGAATGGGTTTCATGATTCGTCATTCTTGAATATAGTACCATATTGTATTGGCGGCTAATGCAAGTATAGGGCCCTATTTCATCTCTAGGTTTCTAGCAGAAGTTCTCTGCATCCCACGCTGACCAAAATATAAGACAATATAAATTCCTACACACCTGGCAAATCTTCTTTACTATGGGCTGTGACTGGGTCCTGGCCATCCGCTATATGATTCATCTCCGAAATAATTGTTAAGTTAACAATATTACAATTGATAATGTCATCAATTTCATCATCCTGCACTTCTTTAAATGTTAACTAAAGTTCATGATCAAGCCAAGATTTCAGTAATAAGTAGGAAATAATTAATCTTGCCTTGTCCTGAATCAAAACATAAAATGGTACAGAACAAAATACAAATTATACAAAATCATATAGTGAAATATCAAATATGTACTGCTGTTAAGTGTGGATTACAGTTAGACTATGATTGAAACTAAATACACTGGTGTATACCACTAGTTCTAAGACAACATTTTATTTCATATTTCTTTACGCATTACTCTGACATTAGTCTGATGAGGTCCGTAATTCTCACCTCCTTCTTGAAGCAAATTTTATGGTCTGGCCAGTGCAGTACCGGCAGCAATTATTTATTGTCATCATTTATTCAACTATATGAATTACATTTCAGATGTAAAAAAGACTTATTAATAAACAGAAAAAGTTAATAGTCATTCTTAATTTGTTATTAACATTTATCATCAAATTGAACATCTACGTAAAAAATATCTGTGTTCGTCAATCGTCGGTTCGTGATGATGTTTCAGAAAAGGCAATTGATGTACCCTGTTTCAGATGTCGTAAATGACCTCAAACAGGCCTGTCACATCTGGGCACGGCAATTTCAGAGCTTCTTTCCAAGTTTTCTTAGTTGTCACTGGTTTCCATCCTTTCAAGTGCAGACAACCTGACAGGACTTTAGCCTCACAATGTTCACCGGCTTTATGAGAGCCCTGCGGAGTCAGCTGTTGATGTAAACAGTGACTGAACGATAATTTAAGATATTTTTCTTACCCTAAAAAATTATTTTCATCTATGAAGAAAATTTTCATAACTAACACATTACATAGTATGACAATCCAATGAATGACAATGAATACAATTTTTTGAGCGTTGGGTAATTTCTGACAATCGTAATTCAATTTTCATGATAATGTAATCAATCCTCATGATAAATTAACTTTTTTGGAAGCTAATTAAAGTAAATTTCTCCAAGAATGAAATATTGATTGCACAAAAATTTCAACTTTCAGTTCATCATGTTCATGTTAATGTAAAATGTTAGTTTATAGGGTAAAAAAACTGAGTGTGAAACGTTTTTTTTTTACTTCCGAGTCTGAGTACCAGTAAGATAAAAAGTGACACAGTAGTGACGAGCTATTATGAGAGTCGCAGGAGGCTGATCAAAAAGTGGAATGTGAAAAATTTACGCTTTCCCTTTACCACGTATTACTGATTATAACTGATATTCATTATAAAATCTTGAAGTTCTAAATTGAAAGGTTTCATGTGGAAAAACAAAAGAAACCCAAATCTGGGAACAAAACCCCCAGATAGCCAACCGGCAGCGGCAGGAATGTCCAAGATAAAAGGAAATGAACTTGAACCCTGCCCTTCATCAGTAGTGTTAGGTACCAATTAAACCCAGTTTAGGCAAGGGGCTTTATGGACTAGCTTCCAGTGCTCCTATAAGAATAAATTAGAAAGAAAGAGAAGAGACAATCAGTTGTGTCCTGAGTTCGTGGAGAGGGTTGTATTTATTTAATTTGTGCCGTTTGTCCATACTTGTGCCAGGTTTTCTTATTCGAACAACCTGATTGTTGAATCTTTTAGAGACTTAGTTTAGTTAGTTAGCTTTCTTCTTTGAGTTTGAGTCATTTTGAAGTTTGCTGGTGTTGGTGCTTTATAAGGTATTATTGCAGATTAACTACATCCAAAAAAAAGAGTGTTTTTTTTTGAATTATATGTTTTTTGGGGTGTAGATTACGAATCTGAAATCCATTTTTGAGCCTGAGTCCAGGCTGACACTCCCATGTGTCTGCAATTCTGCATGATTATGGGGTTGAGGAAACAGTTGAACACTTCATCCTGGCTCCTGATATCATGATATGTGCCCCTGTTGCCCTAAAGTATTTATAGTGCCCACATTTTTTTTAGAATCTGTTCATTTTTAATCCCCTCATGCTCATCTACTCAAGATGTAAACAATTTTTTTATGTATGATAATGCTGGTATGATGGTATCCATGATAGAGAATGATGATACTTTAGAGTCAGAGAGGGTTACCATCTATAGCAGTATAGCTTAGTAAGTTACCTAGTAGTAGTAATAGCTATAGGTTACTGGTTAGGTTACTGAATAGTGAATACTAACAAAAAAATTACTGAAAATATCTGTGCAAAAATATTAAATAACATCAACAAAAAACAAAAAGACATTAAAATAGTCACGTCTTCATTGTTTAAAACATGTTCAAAATGATACTTTGCTGGTCTACTTATAACACTCAAAAATGAACTTAAGGGAGAGGCTAAAAAATTATCTGCTTTGCCACTATGTATGTTCATACCTACATGGTTTGAGGCCTAAACAGAAAAAATTTATGTAGAAAATCATCATTCATTTAACCCAAACCAAGATTTATTAAAGATATCCCATATGCTTTTGTATCATAATAAGCTTCTGTATCAATCTCTCTTTTTGAAATAATCTCTTTTTCTTGACTCTTATCAGGAGTTTTCTATTTCACCATAATAATATTTTCTTGATCCACTGTGTCATTTTATATTTCAGGTGCAATTTTTTTTATTCAATCTAAACTTGGATGTGATGTGGTTTATGTATCATGTTGGCATCTTGCTGTTGACAAGCATGCTTTGGGGGGTAACTAATCCCTTGTTGAAGAAGTACAGCTCTGGTATAGAACATGTTCAGTCCTCTTCACGATTAACACAGGTTCGGAATCTATTTGCTATTCTATTATTAGAGATGTAGACTACAAATAATTTGCTCTAATTTTGATTAGAGGAATGTTTTATCTCTCCGTACAAATGTTTGCATTTTGAGTGGAATAATTTTCTATGTTGAAATTTTAAAAATGAAAAGTATTGAAATTTCAGTTAATATGACCTTTTGGCTTACATTTATTACTGAAAGCTCTATAAATAATTAAATTATTTTTCAGGTTTTTGCAGAAATGAGATTCCTCATCACTCGTCCAAAATATGTGTCTGCATTCCTGGTGAACCAAGTGGGCAGCTTGCTGTTCTTTATTCTACTGGGATCATCTGAATTGTCATTGGTTGTTCCAATAACCAATGGCCTTACATTTCTCATTACAACTATAATGGGACAGTTAATGGGAGAAGAAGAATTGGGATCAGGTGGTTGGTTTGGTGTATCATTGTTATTCACAGGACTTTGTTTGTGTGTGGCTGGCAAGGCTAGCTGATCTCCTTTAACCTCATCCATACACACATTCTTCCCTGCCCTGCTACTGCTCAATCCTCTTCATAAGTTAATCTCCTTATCTAAAGGTAATTGAAATGGGGCATTTATCACTTAGTTTATATTTCATAGCTATTATAGTTGATGCACTGTTTGGGAAATGCTTTGTTGACACTTTAAAATCTTCATTGCTTTAAAAATGGCACTAAATTGAAGAAATTACATTGTTGACCAAAAAGCATGAGAAAAACTATACATTTTTATTGGAATATTCTCCTGAGGGCTGATGGCACTCCTTTGGTTCATTTTATGATTAGCATTTGTCCATGAGTATTAGTATAGAAATGGTATAGGTTCATTTGTAAATTTTATTCCAAGTTTATTGAAGATGCAAGACACCAGTTTTATTGTATATTCTTGTACATCTAGGTATCCATCCCACATTAAGCATCTTGTGTGATGCTTGTATTCATCCCACATTAAGCATCTTGTATAGGTATACCGGTACAGTGTAACTGGTATGCTTTCTGTAAACATGCCCTATATAATTTAACTTGCAACATTGATCTGGTTAATTATATAGGTGGTTAACTTGCAACATTGATCTGGTGTGTCAAATTACATCTTTTTTATTTCATTTTCAACATTTTGTACTATGTCAATCTCCTTTTTGATTTCATTCTAAACATTCAGTAACTTTTATTCAGTAAATTTTAACAAACATTTTACTTTTGTCTCAAATGGAATTCCAGACCCTTGACTACTACACTGTTGGGAATTCAGATCCTTCTTAGCCTGGTACTTCCCTCACTACTTGAACAATACACCTGGAAATTTCATACCATCCTAAAATGTGTCCCAAAGGTTCAACAGGCTATATAATTAACATAAATTTTTAATTGTCTAATGGCAGGTAGGCTACTCTTGGTAAAATAATTCTTCTCAGCTAATTCTATTTTCTCTATCCAATTCCAAATGTTATATAATTGATTGTCTGATATGAATTTATAACTTTAACGCAGAATCAGAGTTTGTTGTGGGAAGACCATGGCAGACCTTACTGTCCTTTGCCTCTTGGTGGTGGCCAGCTTATTCAACGGAATCACGAATCCACTGATGAAGAAGCACAGCGTTGGCATAGAACATGTGAAGGCAGCAAGTTCTATAGGCCAGGTAAGCCTTCACTGCCAGTGTATATATACAACATATATATTGTAATGCCAATGAGTCAATAGATGATTTATCATCTACTAAATGGTACCAGCTGACAGATGTACACAAGTCAACATACGGTACATATCATCAAGTGTCATAAAAGACAATTTAAAGATTATCATCCAAGGACTTGGGTGCATGAATATAGGTATAAACATGAATCACTTATGCTGCTGTTTGGCCCGCCTGTAATAGTTTTTAAAAATTAAGCTGTGGTGTAAAAATTAATTTTGTTTATTATAGGTATTTGCTGATTTGGGCATCAAAGTTGTATTTCTTTGAGTAAGGTAATGCAGCATTGATTGTGTGTTGTAATTCTTTATAATATCAACATCTCAGTAACTAATTCTTCACTCACTTAAATAAGACAATTTACTTCTTCTCCTTAACACATCTTCTCTCTACACTTTATTCATGTTGAGCTGTGTACCCCATAAGTCTTAATTTTTTTTTTAAATTGTCACCATAGGTAGGTATATAAATGAACATTGAAGTATAGCATTGAAAATTTTTTGATGAATTTATAGAAAAGCATCAATGAAAGTTCTCATGTTAATAATCCTGAAAGCCTTTACAAGATTCCTCCTCTAATCCTATAGTTTTCCTCATGACTCCTCAAAATAATTCCTTCAACTCACACAATCCTCCCACATGACCATCCTGTGCAGGTGCTGCAAGAGATCCGATTTTTGGCCGGGCAGAGGGCCTATGTTGTGGCTTTTCTGTTTAATCAGGTGGGCCTGGGGCTATTACTGAAATTAATTTGTGCATTTAAAGCATAATTTGCATTTTTATATGTGTAAAAGGACATTTTTTCTAATTTGCACACTTAAATGAGTAAAAAGTAAATTTTTCCCAACGAGTCATGAAAATAGTGCAATTATATGTGAGGTTGAACTTGAGATATATATTTAAAGCATAATTTGCACACTTCTATAATTAAAAGGACATTTTTTCTCCGATGAGTCATGAAAATAGCACAATTATATGTACGTGAGGTTGAACCTGAGATATATATTTTGGGAGGTAGTTTTGTCAACTGATTAGCATACTTCAATTTTAATCTGTAGTTGAATTTTTGTGACAGTATTGTGAAATTGCGCAGGTTGGTGGCGTGCTGTCTACTGTTTGTCTGGGGCTGGCATCAGTGTCGCTGGTGGTGCCGGTGCTGAACTCGTTGGCTGCCTTGTCAACAGCGCTCACTGGGATGTGGTTGGAGGAGCCGTCCCTGGGGGGTCAGAAAATTATGGGTGTCCTTCTTGTGATTGCGGGCACTACTTGCTGCGTCCTTGGAGCCAGCTCGACTTGATTCATCTTCACTAGGTAAATTGGTTTAGCTAATAAGGTTTTCATATTTTTGATTCTTTGTAATTCTTGATGAATTGCATTGCCAGTTATAGGTTTACTTCAGCTTTTTAGGATGATTGCAAGTACCAAGAGAGGCAGAAATGTTCCTTATTTTGATCACTATGGCTGAGTATTTTATTATGGAACATTTTTTAAATTAATGATGTCATCCTCGCCAAACTTGTATTAAATAAAACTGAATATTTGTTGGTTATGATGAGTAGAACATTAACCATTTATTAAATTCCACTCTCAGATGGATGCGTCTACTCTACATGCAGTTTCCTACACCACCTCCTCTGTCTGCAGGTTGTTGCTCCACTACCTCCAGGTTGTTGCTCCACTACCTCCAGGTTGTTGCTCCACTACCTCTGCCTGCAGGTTGTTGCTCCACTACCTCCAGGTTGTTGCTCCACTACCTCTGCCTGCAGGTTGTTGCTCCACTACCTCTGCCTGCAAGTTGTTACTCCACTACCTCTGCCTGCAGGTTGTTGCTCCACTCCCTCTGCCTGCAAGTTGTTACTCCACTACCTCTGCCTGCCGGTTGTTGCTCCACTACCTCTGCCTGCTGGTTGTTGCTCCACTCCCGTTTTTCCTAGCTGTATGGGGAGATTGGAACATAAATTCAACACAATCGCTAGAAAAAAAAAGATCGCAAATGAGCAGCTGCATGACGACGAAAGGGCCTGAACCGTACCTTATCCCTCGTCAATATGGCATTCAGTGCCACCAGTAGTAAGGCATACAGTGCCATCTGAAGCATGTTTTTGTTGTAATTGCCGATCCTGGTAGTGGTGACTAGGGAGGGAGAGTGATAGGTCAGTTTTTCTGGGCACTTGGTGCCACTGGTAGTTCTACGACCATCACTGGCTCGCTGACCCGCCAGAACCATTTTCGTATTTCACACAACACCCTGGACAAGCCAGGTACTCATTCATCAACCAGAGTTGGATGAATGGCTGAGTTGACCATGAGCTGAGCTTCCCGGTAGAACTTGTCCTCAGTGGGACTCAAACCCGGGCGCTGGGCGCGAGAGATAGAGTCTCTCACCACAGCTCTCCATCTGTAGCATAGCACACAGTGTCTCCCGTAATATAATGCTATATTGCCTCCTGTAGAATGACACATAGTGCACATGTGGGTACTGAACTATGCCATCTATTGTTTGGTGCACAATGCTGTATGATACAGTGTTGTACAGTGTGCATCGCCTGGTGAAACTCGACAACAACGGGAAGAACAACCCGCTTTGCTACCTCAAATAACCCTCAACCACCACTGCCCACCACACCACCACCCGCCACACCACCACCCGCCACACCACCACCCGCCACACCACCACCCGCCACACCACCACCCGCCACACCACCACCCGCCACATCACCACCCACCACACCACCACCTGCCACACCACCACCCGCCTGCTTACTCAGCTTATTCTGTTATCATGTATCGCTTTATTTGTCATTTGTTTTTTTTAATGGGTATTATCCTTAAATGGATTGTTATGAGAATTGTATAAAACTTTTAGAACCTCGTAAAATTATGTCCAATGATTACTTTTTGCTTGAATATGTAAAAACGCCAGAATTGAATACTTAGTAAATGACATTTGAAGTTTTAATGTCCTTTTTTGCTCGAGTCGCAATCCTAAATGAAAAGACGCGGTGACGTGGTGAGTGGTGACAACTTGATGATGAGACGGTATAATGATGACAAAGCTGTCCAGTGGCCGTGAGGTCCCGGGAACAAGACCGGCACTGCGTGGATGTAGTTTGCAAGAACCGCGACAGATGCAGACACTGAGAAAGTTCTTTGTTACGTGTTGGATGAGGTAAGGATTGAGGCGTGGTTGACAATATAACGTGTCGGGTGAGGAAAAATTCCTTTGTTAATTAAAAAAGGAAAATTGTCGAATTAATGTCTGCCAATCAAAATTCTTGAGTCATCGCTCCGCTAAAGTAACAAAAACCTCGTTATAAAAATATTAATGGTCTATAAGCTGCAGGTATTTACAGCCCTTATTGAACTGTGGCGGAGAGAAATGGCTGGGATTGATAGATTTGAAATAAAAATTCGATATTTCCTCTTGTGGGAGTAAAATCAATTCAAAACTAAAAAATCAAGTTTCATTCAAATGTCAAAACCGAACTTGATGAAAAGGAGATCTGTGCTAAATGTGCTTGAAAGGTCCTTGATTTGCGTACAGAACTTTTAAGTCAATCTCCTGAATTCGGTGTGATGGATTTGAGATGACGTGGTTAAGAATAAAAGTTTTCACAAGTACCACGGATCACCAATTCCGTGCAACACTGGGCTTATTCGCCAGTTATATGTAAAAACAAACTTGGACTGAAAGATTTTCTCGTAAAGCTTTGGAAAGTCACCTCGTCATTGGAACTCTTGAAAACTACACATTTAAGTAAACGTAATTAAACTTAAGAAAGTGTCCTGCGTGTATTAGTTTGAAGAATCGTACAGAACCAACAGACGCTTCTATTATTGAAGAGCCGACGTATGCTATGTGTCGACTAAAAATCCGCAGTCGTTCGGTGGTCGTAACCGTGCGAAGACGCTGGAATACCGTCGCCAATGTCTGCTGGCCATTTCAGTCAGTGAATTATCTGGTCAGTGACGTTTCGTTACACTCAAGATTCCATAAATCAGATACATAAATTGTACTTGGAGGAATTTACAAACATGTTAGTATTATTTGCTCTAGTACTAATCCTCTCCTTGTGGAGCAATGATTGTGCGGCAACTTACTGCGGCGAAACTAATATTGTTCTTCAAACTGATAAAGTGTACGAATTCACGACTAGAGTTGAACCAAGCCCCGCCCCAGGCACGACATACCCGTGCTTTTTCGAAGGCTATGCTCCAGTTGGCCAAAAGATATCCGTGCTCTGCCATTCTGCCTGGATACATTTGTTACGTAGGCACTCCTCCTCCCACTCTCGTTAGAACTACTGCAACGATAAGGACACCAACGACTGCTACTTCCACCCAAGCCATGCTCCGCCCAACTGCCCCCTCCAAAAGTAACTGTGACTGTGGATTGGAGAATCAAGGGCCAAGAGTGGCAGGTGGCGATACTGCATCGACAGCTGAATATCCTTGGATGATTGGTATCCTTAAAGATGGAATGAATAAGCCTTCTTGCGGAGGAAGCCTCATCTCCAATCAGTGGGTGCTGACAGCCGCGCACTGCATGACAGATGAAACACTCGAGAACGTAGAGGTATTGCTGGGTACAAATCAGGTTGGGCTAAACCTGCAGTTCGGCAGAAGAGTCAAGGTATCTCGGGTAATTATCCATCCCTATTATAATGAAAAATATGACAATGACATTGCCTTGTTGAAGCTGGCTGCCCGAGTGACTTATTCGACCAGAATTTCACCTGTGTGTCTACCTTACAATATGCGGAACTCGGACTACGAAGGTACTTATGGAACTGTAACGGGGTGGGGCAGTGTTGGTGAACTAGGAGATACGTCTACAGTTCTAAAGGAAGTTGATCTCCGCATCATAAGCTATGAAGAGTGTATCGTATACAACCGCGGCATGGCGGTCTATAAAGTCACAAATAATATGTTTTGCACCTTGAGACCTGGCCAGGACGCTTGTAGAGGAGACTCGGGTGGTCCGCTGACCGTCCAGTCTAAAGGACGTCACATCCAGCTGGGGATTGTATCTTGGGGGCTACCGCCTTGTGCAGATCCTTTAAACCCCGGAGTCCATACGAAAGTAACTAATTACCTCAGATGGATCGAAAATGTCACGGATGAGACCTTCTGCAAAGTGAATTAATATCTCGTGGTAAATCACTAGAGTATGATGTGAGTGAAGAAAAATATGCGGGCAAGTTTTGTTATTGCACTTACGTTCAGCTCGCACGATGTTCGTGTACAACCCTAGCAAATTGATGAGCATAGAGATATGAATGTATATAGAAATTTCTTGACCTTGTACAAGCTTGGAAAATTATTCCCCTATTGGTGGTGTGGAGAATAACGAAATTGATTTAGTTCAATATTTTGTCATTCCACTAAAAGTAAATATTATCGTATCGAATTGAGGATAGACAGCTGTTGAAAATATAGTGGCTGACGATTGTAACAACTACCAACGTGGACAAGAAGTACCTCTTACATAGAAACTTTGCAATGGTATTTGAAAATAGATGCTAGGATGAAACCTTGATTAGTGATGGCTAAATCAATTTCTACCTTATTTCAAATGCATCCTAATGAAGTACTTGAGCTACTTAGGTTAATTTAGCTGTATAATTAGAGGCAGAAGTTATATAGAAATATTGATAATTGCAGAAATATTACAAGAAATGCTGGATCTGCGTGAATGGAGATTGATAGTTGAATTCGAATGAAAGTTACGACGTTGGGCTTCATCAAAATGATCTTGTTATTGGTATATGCATTCGCATGTCCAGTGGAAATTTTCATGTTAGGTAGAAAAAAATTTTTGTGATGTAGAATTGTTGTTGTTCTCCGTTGTAGAATTGCATGGTAGCACAACCGAGTCTTTTGTCGATGCTAAGAGCGTTCATGGTCAATTTTATAGTGCTGTAACGAATGTATAAAATCGTATTGATCTGTACTTAAGTGCATGCAGGGTTGAATACTGAAGTTGAATATGAAAACGTTACTTCAGATACAGTATTCGATGATGAGAATTGTCGAATCGTCAGAAACCGTCTCGTCTGGCGCTCGATGACGGTGCATTTACTTTTGTCTAAAATTCAATTAAGAGGCCTAGCTGGAATTTAGTGTTCATATTTAAGCCTATAAAACTCTATATTTAGTTAGCATAAAGCTTTGTTGTCGGCTCTGTAGCACTGTTGAATTTTCAAGATTGCTTGTCCGTTTTCTGAATAAATGTCAATAATAATCGAATCTGGATTAAATATTTAAATTTAAGAAACCCTATTGCTGGTTTGGAAATGAATATAGCCTTCCTCTCGTTAGAAGCGCAGATTTTCAAAGTCTCATGTACTGGTCATGAACGTTTCACCTAACAAATAATAAAATGACATGCTAAGTTAAGAAGGTCCAATACAAAAATCAATACAAATATTATTATTAAAGTTTGTCGAGTCAAATGACTTCGGAATGGATTATTCCTCTCAATCTTATAATTACTACAGCCTTTATATATGTCCTTTAATCTCTAGAGCGCGATTAAACTCACCTCGTTATTTTTTCCGATCGATTTGTCTGCAAGAGCCAAACTGTTTACTGATGCTGGGGCCATACTTTCAAAACTCGCTAAGTGAACGTAAGTACTTACGCTCTATTTTCACGTCCATGATTGGTAGATTTTGCTTAAAAGGCCGTCAATGATTGGTTCATGAACATACGATCTCTTTACTTTGTTTGAAAGTATAGGCCCAGGTCTGCTAAATGGAATTAGACGCTTAATGCAGATTTTGACGCGTTGGTTATGAAATTTTTCACAAGGGTATTCGAAACGTAACGGACTTTGAATAGGCGTCTGAAAGCTATGCCCTTCGACAAGCATGTAGAATCGACTACCTCCACATAACAAGTTCCTGAATTTCACGGTAAGAATTTCTCCATTGAATTAGTGACATCCTCCCGTTCTACTTTGAAGAAGGTATAGATGACCACTTCCGCATAACAAGTTCCTGAATTTCACGGTAAGAATTTCTCCATTGAATTAGTGACATCCTCCCGTTCTACTTTGAAGAAGGTATAGAGCCCAATTCATTACTCTAACAGTATTTATTGTTGCCACATTGTTTAAAGACGCTTTCAGTAGTTATAAATGATGTCAAACCTCCAACGTTCACCCGGGATCTCTATAAGTGACCACCTGGAGGTCTTTCGGAAGATTCTTCGAAATTTAAGCGAATATTGAAACTTCTGTCCAAACCTTATACTTTGTGAGAATTTATTGATACTTAAATCTTTGTAAAGCGGCGTTGTCGATCAAAAACTAATAACAATTGAAAGTCTGGAGGAAGATTCGCCACGTCATACCAAGACACAAGATGTTTTGTGATGATGTGGATGGCGGTAAGGGTAGGAATTTGATGTCTTATCTTATCAACTCACCTTGCATGCGCAGCTTAAGCTATACGACACTTTTTACTGAAATCATGCCATTTATATCATTATTATGTAACATTAAAGTTACTCGAGGCCAGGCATGTACATTGGGGAAGAATGCCCGATGAATTTACGTTATTTTTTGTAAATCATGTGGTGCCATCTGTAGTAAGTCGTGCAGTGCCATCTGCAGTAAGGCGTGCAGTGCCATTTGCAGTAAGTCGTGCAGTGCCATCTGCAGTAAGGCGTGCAGTGCCATCTGCAGTAAGACGTGCAGTGCCACCTGCAGTAAGGCGTGCAGTGCCAGCTGCAGTAAGACGTGCAGTGCCAGCTGCAGTAAGGCGTGCAGTGCCAGCTGCAGTAAGGCGTGCAGTGCCAGCTGCAGTAAGGCGTGCAGTGCCAGCTGCAGTAAGGCGTGCAGTGCCATCTGCAGTAAGGCGTGCAGTGCCATCTGCAGTAAGGCGTGCAGTGCCACCGAAAGGGTAGCACGAAGTCTTTCCTATAATATAATACAGTGCTGCATATTTTGCGGTACAGAGTGCCAGCTGTACACTGGGCAGGGTGGCCCAGTGGGTACCAAGATTGCAGGATATAGACGCGGGTTCGATCCCAGCTCTGTGCGCCAGTTTCTGGTCAGAATCGGCGAGGAGGCCGGGCGGTTAAGCAAAGCAGAATGGTAGCAGTGAGTTGCGAGTTCGAGACCGCACAAGCTGTGAATGTTCTGCGATGTTAAGAATCGGCGACAGGCCTACGGCCTAATAAACGCTGAAAACTGCTATATTATAATATTATGTATTGTACCCAAACTTAATCCCCCACTCTACTAGGTATTAACTTCAACCATTCTAGTTTTCAAGCTCCATTAATTGCCGTTGTCATTACTGCGCATGTTAGAGGATTTTAATGTGTGAACTCGTATTTAAGTATTAAAAATTTGACGATTCAAATTTTTTTTGCGAAAAAATAATGTTTTTTGATTTGCAGGAACAGAAATTTACTCTCGCCACACCTCCACCCGCCACACCACCACCCGCCACACCACCACCC